TGGGCTGTGGGGAGGACACAGGCGGCCCTGACTCCCTCTCCGGTCTCTCTTCCTTCTGTCTCTGTCGCCAGGCTCTCAGCCTCTCTCCACCTGCAAGATGGTGAGTCCCCTCGGGTCCCTCCCCCAATGTCCAAGGCCCCCCCAGACCGAGGGCCCAGAGGGCAGCTTCTCCCCAGAAGCCCAGCCCCTCGCCAGCACATGCCCCCTGGCCCTGTCCTGTGTCACCCGACAAGCAGCTCCTGTGGGTCAGGGCTCTTCTCTCCCATCAGCCTGGCAGGTGGGCACTGCTGGTCTCCCTTGGCATCCATTCATTCTGCAACATTTATGGAGTACCTCCAGGCACCGGCACCATTCTAGGTTTGGGGGGATGTGACAACGAACCCCGTCTGGGCTCTCAGGGAGTTCACCTTCTACGGGAGGGCATGAGGCTCAGAGTTTGGCACTGACTGGTGAGCTGGGACCCAGACCTCTGCCCTCCTGGCCGCGTGCAGCACACTGGCCCCCCGGTCACCGAGGTGATGCTTTTGGTCCAAGGTTCATCAGCACCCAAGGGTGGGACAGGACAGGCACATAGCACCCGCAAGTCCAAAGAAATCTCATGACTTGTCCCAGGTGGCCAGCTGGTCCCCTGGAGGAGAGGCCCACTGTGTGCGCTCTAAGCCTCTGAGCAGCCCCAGGTGGGAGTCAAGGATGTAAGATTTCACCCAAAAGCAGCATTTCCATTGCTCAGAGCTGAAAGGAAGGGCATCCACTTCTCCCCTACCCATCCCAGCCTAGGGGTGGGCTTACAGGAAGTCCGACCCTGGGGACTGGGGACGGGAAGGAACCGATTCACCTATAAATCCAGGTCTCAGCAGAGTTCCATGCAGGTGGACGGGTCACAGAGGCCAGAGAGACACCAGCAGCCAAGAATGATGCTGGGTTATTCTGCTCACTTGTTCTGTCAACAAACATTCACTGAGCAGCCAGCCTGTCAGGCACTGTTTCAATGCCAGGGCTGCGATGAAGAACAAAACAGACTAAAACCTCTGGCCCTGTGAACCAAGCTAGGGCCAACCTGGCGGGGGTGTGGGTGTGGGTGGGGGTGGGGGGAGCGAGGTCCAGCCAGCAGCGCCCTCCCCCCGGCCCCCCACAAAGGGCACTGCACGTCCAGTCTGCAAAGCATTCCCACCTACACATTCCTGGTCTTCGTTCCCCAAACCAACCTCAGCCTCCCCTGGTTCTTGGGGCGGGGTCTGCCCTGAATGTAACCCAAGGTTAAGTCACTCTTGAGTGACTGAATGCGCCCCTTGCGCTCACCCTGCCCAACACCCACCACTTTCGCCCCCTGCCCCCCAGCTCTCCTCGGATCAGCTGGGTCCCCAGTGGGACTGCCCCCTGGGCTCCAAGGGCCTGGAAGACAAGGAGGGCCCGTGGGGAGGAGGCTCAGGCCTGCCACCCCCAGACTACTTCCCTGGCTCCTGGCGCCTCGACGTGGGCCTGGACTGCAAGGCCTCCCCCGAAGGGGCAGAGGCCCGGGCCCGGACTGCCTACTACTACAGCCTCCTGCAGAGCTGCCTGCAGCAAGCTGGCCTTCCGGAGACCCAGGACCGCAGCCAGGTGCCCCGCACAGGTGCCCAAGGGCTCCACGGAGGGGGAACCCCTGGGGTGAGGGAGGTGCCCGCAGCCCAGCCTGCTTCCCTCCCTGTCAAGGTCAGTCCCTTCCCCCAGGCTGTGACTGGGTCTGAAACGCGGGCCAATTTCGGGCAGGCAGGCGGGCATTGTTTCCACGGGCCCCTGGCACCAGTCACGTCAGTACCTAGGCTTCCCTCCACCCCCAGAAGGTCCAGCCCCGGAGTTGGCAACCCATGGTCTGTGGAGCCCCGGCTTCCAGAGAAGTGTCTGGTGTTGGGAGCTGCGGTAGAGGCAGCTGGCAGATGGGACCCCAGCCTCCTGCCTGCTTTACCTATTTTACGTATCAGTGGCCACCAAAGCTCTAAAATACAGGAAGAATCAGCCTCGGCTGCGCTGTGCAGACTGGAAAACGAGGTGCAGAGGCTCCCCCTCCCACTGCACAGGGGCCAAGGGTCCCAGGAAAGTCAGTGGCGGAGCTCAGACTAGAACCAAGGTCTCTGGTCACACCACCTCCAGCGCCTCTAGACCAGCTGCAGAGGGGGCGGGGGGGCAGCGCTGCCTCTTCCCTCTCTAGCTCCCCTCTGTCCCTTGAACTGCTCTCATCTATACCCAGAAGGGCCATGGGGGTCAGGAGAGGTGGGCAGGGAGAAAAGCAGGGAGCCCCTGGTGAGCTTGGCCTGTTCTCTTCCCTCGAGGCCGCCCTGGGGCAGAGGTGACCTTGTGCATTCTGGGATCGCCCAGCACCTTTCTGTCTGTGCTGCTGGAGGGTGGGGTCCAGAGTCCCGGTGAGTGTGTACCCAAGTTCCCCCACCCCCTCCTACAGAAAGGGCAGCCCTGCCCTGGCCCAGCCACATCCCAAAATACCCACCAACCCTGGCAGCTGCCAGCATTGCGGGGGGCCAGCTGCCATGCTCAGAGCGGGGGGTGGGTTCTGGGAGCAGCTGCCCCCACTGCCCAGGGCCCAGGCTGGAGGAGGAGGGCATGGGACAGGAAGCCTTCCCTGGCCAGCGACTCTCCCCCGTCTGCCCACAGGAAACATGCTGCTTTGCCTGTCCCCTGCGTGGCTGACAAAGGTGCCGGCACCGGGGCGGCCAGGAGAGGCGGCCCTGCTGGTTTCCAAGGCAGTGAGCTTCCACCCGGGGGGCCTGACCTTCCTGGATGACTTTGTCCCCCAGCGCCAAGCCACCTACTTCCTGGTGGGCCTGGGACCGGGGCCTGGCCAGGGGCGGGAAGCGGCTGAGCTCGCGCGTGACCTCACCTGCCCCACCGGAGCCTCCGCAGAGCTGGCCCGGCTGCTGGAGGACCGGCTGCTGACCAGGCACTTGCTGGCCCAACGAGGCGGCGTGGCGGTGCCAGCCACCCTGGCTTTCACCTACAAGCCGCCCACACTGCTCCAGGGAGGGGATGGCAGCCCGGGACTCCGGCTGGTGGAGCTGAGTGGCAAAGAGGGCCAGGAGACACTGGTCAAGGAGGAAGTAGGGGCCTTTCTGCACTCCGAAGCCCTGGGTGATGCCCTGCAGGTAACAGGCTCCTGCCCTGGAGGTCTGTGTAGATGCCACAGGATGGGACCTATGGATGGTCACCAAGTCCTGCTGGGAAGTTACCCCCACCTTTGTGTCCTGTTGCCGCCCCATCTCTGCGGCCACCCCCTGCCCTCTCATCCCCGTTTGCTCATGGGTTCCTACGGTGTGACACCTCATCCCGCAGGCACAGGGGTGGTGAGCAAGCCCCTCCCCTTTCCGTGGCTGCAGGTGGCCATCAAACTCAGCAGCTGGCGCTGGCGGGGGCGGCAGGCACTACGTCTGCACCCACGAGCGGAGGTGGGCACAGTGGCCGACACGGTGGTGGCCTTGCTGGAGAAACTGGAGGAGGAGGAGAGTGTCCTGGTGGAGGCTGTGTGCCCACCTGCCCGGCTGCCTGCCCCAGGTGAGAGCCACCTGAGCCGGCCAGGGGTGGGAGCTCGGCTCGGTCTCCTGGCTGCTGTGCTGGGCTCAGGCCTCACCGTCTCCCCCCAGGAAATCCCCCGCCAGGGCTGGAGCTGGCTTTGCGGATCTGTGCTGTGGTGTGTCGGACACAGGGTGACAGGCCCCTGTTGAGCAAGGTGAGGGTGGCCCAGTTTTAGGTCATGACCCTGCTGCCACACCCCAGTCCAGCCCCACTGAGCTGATGAGGGCCCCTGGGCAGAGAGGACAAAATCTTTAAAAAAAATTTTTTTTATAGATGTTTATTTTTTATAACATTTTAATGTCTTTATTGATATTAGAGAGAGAGGAAGGAAGAGAGAAACATCCATGTGAGAGAGAGGAAACATCCATCAGTTGCCTCCTGCGTGCACCCCAACTGGAGAATCAAATCCACCACCTGGATATGTGCCCTGCCCGGGAATTAAACCCACCACCTTTTGGTGTTGGAGACAACGCTCCAACCAACTGAGCCACACCTGCCAGGGCAAGAGGACAACATCACTGAGGGGGACCTTGGTTGCCTCTGGGAGGACTCCTGGGTCTGGCCCTTTTCATGCTCCTCCAACCCTCCCTGTGCCCCTCCCACATCAGGAGCGGTGACGGATCCCCATGCTGCGGCCCAGGGCTTGGGGCTGCGTCCTCTTCCCAAGGAGCTCTTGCCCACAGAAGAGGCCGACCCCGGTCCCTGACAAACCTCCAGAGCCTGGAGCCCTTAGGTGGGGCCTCCAAGCTGGGGGCTCAGGAAGGCTTGGGGACCCTCCTGGGTGTACAGCTCTAGGCCAAGCTGGGAGGGAGAGGCTCAGTCCTGTCCTCAAGGAGTTGCTGGGCTGGGGCACACCAGGGTGGCACAGGTGCCCAGGGCTGCAGGAGCTAGGCGCCAGCATGCTTGGAGGCCTCAGGGAGCAGAGACCCCAGCTGGGAGCGAAACCTGGGTGGAGTCCCCCAGGGGTCTAGGGACCAGATGGGCAGTGGCTGTGGAGGTGGTTTGTGCCATGTAAGTCACTTCGGAGAGCTGGGCTTCTTGGATGTCCCGAGGGGTCTGGCCTGGACCTTGGCACAGGGAGCAGCATGCACAGGGTGGGGTGAGGGGGTGTCCTGGGAGGACTCCTCCTGGGCCAGTCCCCTGAGCCACAGCCCGCCCAGGTGGTGTGCGCGGTGGGCCGGGGGAACCGGCCTCTACGGCACCAGAACTCTTTGCCGCGCCCGCTGGAGGCGGCGCTGGCCCAGGGCGGCCTGGGGGAGGCGGCTCA